CACATGTAAATCCATGGCTGATTCATGTCAATGTATGGCAAAAACCACTACAAAATTGTAAAGTAATCAGCCTCCAATTAAAATAAATAAATTAAAGGAAAAAAAAGAAGCAGATAAAAGAATCCTAATATCTCTTATTAAGTCAGACATGAAAGAGTTCAAAGATAAAACCATTCTTCTCACTAAATGTTGTTAATTAAATTGAGCATTCTCATCAAATTAAAAAGTTATTTTTAATTTAAAAAGGATGTTATTTGTATTAACATGTAATTTACATGTTAATGATATTTTAAAATGAATTAATAACTAAGCACTTAAAACTTTGTAGTTTTAATTTCTACCATCAAAAATGTTTTCATGATCAAAGTCATGTTCCAATAGGTCCTTATTTAATTTTGTTGAAAGCCAAGAACAGGAAACTACCTGAATTGTAAAAGGCCACTGTCATTCTCAGCACCAGTTCCAGTATTTGAAATTCTGTTTTGTGTCTCGGAGGATTTCTATAACAGAGCAATTTTCCACAGTGAGATCAGTGATAGATGAGACATGGGTTTTCTTCTGCAATGTGGGAAAAGAGTTACAATGAAAGGAGAGGAAGAAAAGAACATCTTCTCAGGCAGATCTGTTTTAGTCAAGTCCACAGGTGGGAGGTCAAAGTAGAAACTGAACCCTTAAGTCCCTCTATTTACCTATAGCCTTGGGAAGTTTTCAGGTTTCCCCAGGATTAGCATGCCCAGAAGGACATCTGATCTTGATGGTTTAGCTGGCAATCATACACCTACACTAATAATTAAAGTACAGTGAGGAAGAATAGGGAGAAGATGTGGGGCTGAAAGGACAGGTAATTCTAATTGGTTTGAAGCATACTGAACGTAAACAAAATTAATTTCTACAGTAGTTTGGAGTTCACAGAGCACTTGTATGTACTTTAATCATCATATTAACATATTTTAAAGGTAGGAAAAGTGAGGCTCAGAGGGAATTTTTCTTTGACAGAGAATTACCTAGGAAATCTTTGATACACACTTTTAATTAGTAGCACATGACACTAATGATAAAATATTCACTTTTGGAAAGTTGAACCCTAGTTTACTTTCATTTGGCTATGAAAACCATAACAATTCCTAATGTGTTAATTCAGCTCTGCAAATCTGAAGTGCTAATAAATCTTTAGCCACCTGGAAAACATGACATGGAATATATTTTGTGGTTGTACATTTAGGTTTTTTCCATACTGATGGGGCTGACTGAAATATAAGGAAAAATTTTGTTGAACCTGTTCATATCATACCTATGTGGGCGCTCTACTGTGGTTGATATTAAACATTCCCACTCTATCCAACTCTGAATGAACTGCAGTAATCTGGGTTATAAATTTAAATTTAAATCTGATTAAATTTTACCTTTTAGGTGTGTGGAGCAAAAGGTTAAAGAGTGGGTGCTTTAAAGCCTTTTATTTTATTCATTAAAAAAACTGAAGTATAGTTAATTTAAAATGTTGTATTAGTTTCATGTGTATAACAAAGTGATTCAGCTATTTATATATATCTATATATTTTTATCTATAGATGCATACCTTCTTTTTCAGATTCTTTTCCATTTTAAGTTATTACAAGCTTTTGAGTACAGTTCCTTGTGCTATACAGTAGGTCTTTGTTGTTTATCTATTTATATATAGTAGTGTGTGTATGTTAATCCAAAACTCCTAATTTATTCCCCCTCCATTATCCCCTTCAGTAACCATAAATTTGTTTTTTATGTGAGTCTATTTCTGTCTAGTAAATAAGTTCATTTGTATCTTTTAAAAAAATTTAATTTATTTTTTAATTGAAGGTTAATTGCTTTATTGAATTTTGTTGTTTTCTGTCAAACATCTGTATCATTTTTAAGAAAGATTCCACATGTAAGGGATATCATATATTTGCCTTTCTGTCTGATTTCACTTAATATGATAATTTCTAGGTCTGTCCATGTTGTTGCAAATGGCATTATTTCATTCTTTTTATGGCTGTGTAGTAGTCTATTGTTTATATATACCACATCTCTTTTATCTGTTTATGGACACTTGAATTGCTTCCATGTCTTGGCTCTTGTAAATAGTGCTGCAGTGAATATTGGGTACATGCATCTTTTAGGATTATGGTCTTCTCCAGGTATATGCCCAGGAATAGGACTGCCAGATGCTATGGTAGTCCTAGTTTTAGTTTTTTAAGCAACCTCCATACTGTTCTCCTTAGTGGCTGTGCCAATTTACACTCCCACCAACAGTGTAGGAGGGTTCCCTTTTCTCCACATCCTTTCCAGCGCTTTATTATTTGTAGACTTTTTGATGATGGCAATTCTGACTGGTGTGAGGTGATATCTCATTGTAATTTTGATTTTCATTTCTCTAATGATTAACAGCGTTGAGAATGTTTTCATGTGCTTTTTGACCATCTGTATGTCTTTGGAGAAATGTCTCCTTAGATCTTCTACCAGTTTTTTGAATGGGTAGCTTGTTTTTTTGATACTGAGCTCTATGAGCTGTTTGTGTATTTTGGAGATTAATCCCTTTTGGTTGCTTTGTTTGCAAATATTTTCTCTCTTTTTGTGCAATGTCTTTTCATTTTTTTATGGGTTCTTTTGCTTTGTAAAACTTTTAATTTAATTAGGTTCCATTTATTTTTGTTTTTATTTTCATTACTCTAGGAGGTGGATAAAAGAAGATATGCTGCAATTTATGTCAAAGACTGTTCTGCCTATGTTTTCCTCTAAAAGTTTTATAGTATCTGGTTTTATTCTTAGGTCTTTAATTCATTTTGAGTTTATATTTGTATATGGTGTTAGAGAATGTTCTAATTTCATTCTTCTACATTTAGCTGTCCAGTTTTTCCAGTACCACTTGTTGAAGAGACGTTTCTTCATTGTATATTCCTGCCTCCTTTGTTGTAGATTATTTGGCCGTAAGTGTATGGGTTTATTTCTGGCCTTTCTATCCATTCTATTGATCTATGTATCTGTTTTTGTGCCAGTGTCATACTGTTTTTATTACTGTGGCTTTGTAGTATCATCTGAAGTCAGGGAGCATGATTCCTCCAGCTCTTCAGCAGACATATCAGTGTCATTCCTTGATATCAGACATAACAAATTAAACATTAAATGCCATAATCACTAGCTCTGTATTACAAGCAACCTGATGACAGACAATATGACTTAACAATTCTTGGCTTCCACTGCGTATTTTAGATGCACATGTAATTGGCTTTGCTTTGCAATTAATTTGCTTATTGAAAATTAAGTTTGTGGCTCTTATGGGAGAGAGTGGGTCATAAGGTGGTTTTAAGAAGATTAGAACTTGTCCTTACACGGCTTGGTGTCCACTCCCATGACTGCCGCCTTTCCTTCTTCCAAAGGCAGTCTAGACCAAGAATATCATCTAAGTGTCCTGAGGTAATGCAGTTTCTGAAATGGCCTGACTTTCACTCCCACAAAGAAGAAAAAGAGTCAGTTTAAAAGTATATTTTTAATATACATATCTTCTGGGTCCAAGGTGGCATAATACTATGTTTGAAAGACAAATTTATGCATTTCATTAGTAGTTTTTTCAGAAGTCAGTATTCTCCAGGAAGTATATATTTTCTGAAATTTCAAGAAAAATTTTTAAATAAGCTAAGAATTAATTTCTTCTGGTACTGTCCAGTATGTCTTAATCTATTCAATAATATGATCAATGAAGAAGATTCTCATGTGCCACCACTTTTGAGGTGGTTCAGTTGAAAAAAAATTGAGACAGCTTACTGAATTCCTGTAAGGAAAAAAAACTCTTTTTAAATGTAGGTAAAAGCATGTTACACTTAAATATTTTTACTTGAGATGAAAATTTCTTGGGGTGAGAGTATCAGTAACAAATCATTCTTTTGTTTCCTTGGATATTTGGAACATTTGGGTCTGGACATCCTCACAGATTAAATGATTATCTGTTTGTTAGTGCTAGGAGAGCTTATGTTTTACAACATTTCTTAAGTTTCTTTTTTTTTTTTTTCATTTATTTTTATTAGTTGGAGGCTAATTACTTTACATCATTGTAGTGGTTTTTGTCATACATTGAAATGAATTAGCCATGGATTTACATGTATTCCCCATCCCGGTCCCCCCTCCCACCTCCCTCTCCACCCAATCCCTCTGGGTCTTCCCAGTGCACCAGGCCCGAGCACTTGTCTCATGCACCCAACCTGGGCTGGTGATCTGTTTCACCCTAGATAATATACGTGTTTCAATGCTGTTCTCTTGAAACATCCCACCCTCGCCTTCTCCCAGAGTCCACAAGTCTGTTCTATACATCGGAGTCTCTTTTTCTGTTTTGCACATAGGGTTATCGTTACCATCTTTCTAAATTCCATATATATGTGTTAGTATACTGTAATGGTCTTTATCTTTCTGGCTTACTTCGCTCTGTATAATGGGCTCCAGTTTCATCCATCTCATTAGAACTGATTCAAATGAATTCTTTTTAATGGCTGAGCTTAAGTTTCATCTGAGGGGAATGGCACGTGAGTTGATTTACCATGTTAAATCTAGTCTATTACTAAGAACAGCTTGCCACCTTATGTTAGGAAGGTCCTGAGTCTCATCCATGATGAGTGAGTGGGAAAGAGTATCTTGATTGATTAACTGTGTCCTGTGTGTGTTTGGGGGGGTTATGGGGGATGGGAAAGGGAGCACACCATTTGGTTTCAAATATTTTCAGCCCTGACCCAACATGGAAAGTGTGTTATGCCAGCACCTAAATGTTTTCTTTTTGGGTAGATTCAGTAGGAAGCCCAAGAATAACGGAGTGGGTAGTCTATCCCTTCTCCAGTGTATCTTCTGACCTAGGAATCGAACCAGGGTGTCCTGCATTGCAAGTGGATTCTTTATCAACTGAGCTATCAGGGAAGCCCAAATAGGGATAGTAATCCTGGAAAAATACTCCCTTATTGGTGGAATCAAATGTGAGTGAGTAAAGCGGCTCCCTGATGTTATTAGGATCTGTATTTGTCAAGGCAAGACAAAGAACCCTTCTCTCTCACTCCACAGATGACTTTCATGGTCCTGGGGGGTCTTCCTGGCTGGGAGAACCTACCTTTGGGTGATGCCGTGGGGGTTTCCTCCGTGGTTTGCCTGCCCCTCTGGATGCCAGCAGGTGTGGTCGCTGCAAAGTCATCGTCTGTGCCACTGGGGGTTGAGAAGGGGTCCTCTGGGGTTCCCTGGGTGGCAGGATTTGCTCCTGCTTGTCCTGCAGGAAGGATTCCATTCTGGGCATCTGGATTAGTCTGACTGGTGGGCAGGATGGCTCCAGCGAGCAAGGGATGGAAGATAAGGCCTGTTAAGATTTGAGAGGTCCCTTGCTGGAATGAGAGAAGGAAATAGAAAACAAAGTCAAAAGAACACATTTTAAGGCTGGTCAACTAGCCTTTTCTTCTTTGAGAGCAGCAAGTTTGAGTAGGATTCACAGATGAAGAGGGTAGAGTCAGCAAAAACAGTAAAGATTGGGCATTCCTTAGAGAAAATGGCCCCCTAGCCTGAGCCAAACCTGATGCTGGTTTCATTACTCGGGATCCTTGCTATGCTTCATTTTTCTCAGAAGGGAACGCAAGAATCAAGTCAGTCACAGGGAAAGGAATGATGCAACATTTGTTCATATCAGTTTTATTTGGAAGTAGAACTAAGACAGAAACTCCATACAATTGCAGCGGGCTATATTTCTGTTATTGACCTAAACCACAGTCTCTTTTTTGCCCAGACTTTAAGAGAAGTAATTTAAGAGATTAAAAATTAATGGAAAAATGAAGTCAAGTAGATTAATCAATTCTTATCACATGATTTTTATGCTTTCTTTTGATATGTTTTTTTCAAGGGCATTGGAATATTCATTCAGTCAAGAACATTTCTTTTGGCAATTCAGTCACTGGTGTATTCTTTGAGGTTACTCAATGGATCTCCTTTCTATTGGACTGTCAGTGATTTGCACACTGTTACTTTGCCAACAAAGGTCCATCTAATCAAGGCTATGGTTTTTCCAGTGGTCATGTATGGATGTGAGAGTTGGACTGTGAAGAAAGCTGAGAGCTGGAAAATTGATGCTTTTGAACTGTGGTGTTGGAGAAGACTCTTGAGAGTCCCTTGGACTGCAAGGAGATCCAACCAGTCCATCCTAAAGGAGATCAGTCCTGGGTGTTCATTGGAAGGACTGATGCTGAAGCTGAAACTCCAATACTTTGGCCACCTGATGCGAAGAGCTGACTCATTTGAAATGACCCTGATGCTTGGAGGGATTGGGGGCAGGAGGAGAAGGGGACGACAGAGGATGAGATGGTTGGATGGCATCACCGACTCGATGGGCATGAGTTTGAGTAAACTCTGGGAGTTGGTGATGGACAGGGAGGCCTGGCGTGCTGCGATTCATGGGGACGCAAAGAGTTGGACATGACTGAGTGAGTGAACTGACTCACTGACTGACTGACTGAATGTTGTTGGTACTTAGATTTGTTGTTTCTCCCCTGGGAAAAAATTACCATGAAAAATTCTTCCTAAGATGAAATACCTGGAAATCAGCTGGTTTTGGAGAGAGTTTAGGCAGAAACCAGTTCTCTTGGACCTCCCAGTTCTGATAGCATTTTCATAGAAAAAAAAGGTTGAGAACTTATAGTTAAGATACAGGTCTGTTTCTTTGAGCATGGTTCTCAATTGTTAGTATACATAAATACCACCTGGAAGGCAGAAATACTCATTTTTAACCAACACTCCAAATTGTCGTGGTTTGATGGTCCAAGACTGATGTTTGGAAAATACTGTCTTAGATTTATGAGGTACTGAAACCAGAATTAGGCTTATGCTGGATGAGAGACAGGAGTAGAGTACAGAAGTTTTCAAACTAGGGGTTGTGACATCCATGCATTTGAAATAAAGAAGATGGTACATCATTAAAAAATAAGGCAAAAATAATAGACTATAAATTACCAGTGCACTCTCTATAATGAGGCTAAGTATTGTTTCATAAAATGTGTATATTTTAGCAACATGAAAAATATAACTCTTACTGTGCATTTCACTAAAAAAACTTGAAAACCACTGGTATAGTGGATAGAAAAATGGTTTTTAATCTAGATCTACTGTTTTATTGACTTTGGCACCTATGTTGCTTAAGTTTTTCTAGCCTCTGTGTCTTTTTCTGTTAAATTGTGTTAAAAATCTCTAATTTGTAATCTGGTGAGTATTAAAATCAATATATGTAAAAATAAAAATCCACCGAGGTGCTTGTTTTATAGGATCAGGTCCATAACTGGTAGAAATGGGTGTTCCTATATTAGAGTTGGCAAAACAGCCCCATTATTTGATTTTATTTATGAACAATTAAGCAAATCTTTACCTTCCTTATAATATAAAAATTTAAAAACTATCTTCCCAGACATTTCCTCAACTTTTTATTTAGTGTCAAGTTTAGATACCGTTAATTCAAATTATTTTTCTCTGAAAATGACTCTGGAGAAATGCGTAGAAGTGCCTAGGCATGGTACAATGAGTTTTTGGGTTCAGCCCTTTAGTTATTCATATGTATAGAGCAGATTTCATTTATCATCATAAGATGCTAGAATAAAAATATATTTTTCTATAAGCATTAAACGTTTAGGTAAAAAAAGAGTCTTTCCTGAGATAAAGATCAATATGTATGTGATTCTAAATCTACATGTATTTCAATAACTTATAACACTAGATTTTAATCAACTTTAAATAAAATTTAAAAATATGCATTGACTTTCTGGATAGACCTGAATCTGACAGCAATATATGGAAAGCAAGAGCTAAGTCAAATTAATGGAGAAGTAGCTGGAGAAGGATGATGGAATCCCTAGCTGGAGAAAAGACAACTTAATGAGAAGACCTATAAAAGTGTTCAGTGTATGATAGCATGTACCAGGTTTAGGGGCTGAGGTCAAAAGAGACAATATGAGGATAGAAAACAGCATTATGGTAGCAGTGAAAAGAACTTGAAATACTAGGAATTAATTTTTTTTTGTTTACCAATTCCTCTGAGCTTAGGATAGTACCCTAAAAGGAAAAGAATAACACATATTATTAGATTTTAATATATTTGGGGCAATATATATATATATATATATATATATATATATATATATAATTGAAAAGCTTAAAATGGTTTTAAAGAGATACATGTTTTTTAATTTTAAGCAATAATTTAAACTGCCTTTGAGACTTTTATTACAAAACTCAAGTCAGGACATGGTATTGGATTACTAACATTTTTTATCTGAGTGATGGGAGGTTTTATGTATTTCAAAAATTACCTATTTTCTATTGTTAGGTAATATATACACATTAGAGGAAACTTGAAAAATGCAGACAACCATAAAGAAAAAAAATATAATCCCATCTTGCAGAGTTGATGTATTTTCTTTCAGATGTTTTACAAACATTTCTTTTTTACATACTAGAAGTCACATCATTTACACAATTTGTGTCTAAAAGTCTTACCTTTTCTTTTAATAGTACACAGCAATTCTTTAACCATATTGCCAACAAATTTTAATAAATGTACTTTTGAATGGTCACAAGTATTTGCTTTTATGCTGTACAGTTTACATAATAATTTTCCTTCTGTTTAAATTTAAGTTGCACCTAATATAGTTCTTTGGAAGCTTCCTAAATGTGCAATGGTAAAAAGTCTGCCTGCCAAAGGAGGAGACCCAAGAGACATGGGTCAGGGAGATCACCTGGAGTAAGAAATGGCAACCCACTCCAGTATTCTTGCCTGGAAAATTCCTTGGATAGAGGAGCCTGGCAGGCTACAATCCATGGGGTTGAGAAGAGTTGGAAATGACTAAGTGATGGAGTGCACACACAGTATTCTTCTTTACTATAAAAATATTTTGATGAATTTATTTGTAAATAAACCTGTGCTATATTTCAGATTATATCCTTGGAATATGTTCCCAGATGTGGAATTAAGAGTTAGTGTGAATTTTATATTTGATTCTGCTTTTAGAAGTAAAAACTCAAGAGGGGGGGGATGTATGTAAACTTATAGCTGATTCAGGCTGTTGTACGGCAGAAACCATCATAGCATGTAAAGCAATTATCCTCCAGTTAAAAAAAGGAAGAAGTAAAACCTGCTATCTGATACTCATATTTGATCTTGGCTCTTGGTAATTGTATCAGTGATCTCAAGAATTACTTTTCACAAAGGAAAAAGAGAGAGAGAGGAAAGTTTATCATTTTTAGGGAAAAGACATACAGTTAATAAATAAATTTGAGATTAAAAAAATCCCCCACACCATCAATTTCTAGATCAGTTAATTAATTAATTAATTTTTTTTTTGCTTGACAGTGTGGTTTGAAGGATTGACTGCTTCATCTGTGACATTTACTGTGTGATATAACTGAACAACTAAGTAAGTGTCGCCAGTTACTCGTCTTCAAATTGGAAATAAAAACACTGACTATAGAAGATTATTTTGAAGCTTAGATGAGATAGTACATAGTAATTAAAAAGTACTTGGGACAGTGCCTGGCACATAGTAAGTGCTCAGCAAATGTTTTTGTTATCCTATTTGTAGTGTCCATACAGTGCAAAGTAAATAGGAAGCTTGGCAACTATCTGGTGAACTGATACAGAATTAAATATTTCACATAAGATGATCTAAAATAAAATCATATTATAAAATAATCTTACCTGGGCTCCAAAGTGTGCTACAATAACTGGTAACATCTGAAAAAAGAGTGAAAAATTTAGTAAAAATATACCAAAAGGTAAATTCTGGCAAATGGTGTAAATATTGAGACTTTCAAAATAAGTACACAATGTTTATTAAATAGATATTCCATTTAATGTATCATATAAAATCATAGATATGGACTCATGAGATGGATGGCAATTGGAACTGATTCAGTTTGTGAAAAGAAGATTAGGCCCAGAGAGATTTAGAAAGCTGCTTAAGGAAGCACATTTATAAGGCAGAAGTTAGTAAATTGGATGAAAATAATTTTGTTCTCAAGGTATCTGCAAACTTAAAATTATTCCAAGTAATCATGATGGTAAAATGCATGTTTCTTTTACATGGCATCTCAGAAGATACCTGAAGACATGTAGTGGATATTTTAAAATAATCAAGATTTCTTGAAGCATATACATTTAGTCTCACAATGGTTGCCTAGATATTTTGCTATTAAAAGAGGCACAAGTAGGAAATTATGGATGATATTGTTTAACATCCCTGGTCCTAACAGAGTTCTTAGAGCTAAGTGAGGGACACTCTACTGGTCACTGATGACTGTGAATGGAATGAATTTATAGCTGGAAAGATCTGGGTGAGGTGTTGGTATGCTCTAGCACTCTAAGAACTAACTTTAGGGTTTGTTAGAAAGAATTAGGGTTTTAAAGTTTATTTTTATTTCTATAGAAATCCAGTGTCATAAAAGTTATCAAAATGGGACTTTTAATACAACCCAACCTAAAAGAGTTGAAAGTCTTATAAATAGACCTTTATTATTTCTCAAGAAGTTTGTATAGTAATACCCATAATGCTCAAAGATAAAAAGTACACACATTTAGGAAAAAGCCTTACTCTCAGTCCGATCCTTGGCTACTGACCATAAGCAAATAATCTTCAGGATGGCAATGAAAAAATGGATCAAAGGAAAGGGACAAAGGGTTTGGGAGAAAACAAAATGGAAAGTTCTTCTTTAAAGGCAAATTAGAAGGAACAAAAAGATACAAAGAGGAAACCACAGATGTCTAAGTAAAAACAATAATGAAAGATAATTAACTAATGTTATACTGATATAACAGTAAGGAGAGAAGTTGTTAGTTTTTCATAGAGAATTTGTTTGAAATAATAGCTAAATGTATTGAATGATTACCATCTGATAGGTACTGTTCTAAGTGCTTTATGTAGATTTACTCAATCCTTCTAACAGCTCTTGTGGTAAGGTTCTAATTAATTCCTATTTTAAATGATGAAGAAAGTGAGTCACAGAGGGTTAAGTGACCTAGGAAGTGGAGAGCCAGGATTTGGCCAGAAGTTGTGTGGTTCTCGAGTTCTTTCTTAGCCACACTGGACTTGCTTCGATAGTGAGAGCTGTGGACATGTGCCCAGGTTTCCGGCAGGGGATGTAAGGTACTCTGCTTAGGGAGAGACAGGGTCAGAGCCACTGCGCCTGCCCAGGAGAAGGCATGTATGATGAGGAGGTGGGATAGCCTAGAGACATTGAAGAAGCCCCACAGAGAATGAGGATTGGTTTATATTATTGGATGATGGGGCCGTGCATGTCAAACGTCTCTACCAAATCTTTAATACCATCTATGGTGCCCACTACTGCCTTGGACTCCAGTGAATATACTCTTTGGGGAATATGAAGATGTACTAAGTCTGACTTTGAGGTTAGAACAGGGCAGCAATTGAAACTGAAACTGGGGGCAGTTGGCAGGTGGACTATACTAAGGTCTCGCAGTAAACAGCTCTCTCTAGTCTTTTTCAGAGGATCACTCATTATTAAGATACAAATAACAGAAAACACTTTGAGCGAAGGCTCTAATATATCTGTAAGAAATAAGTACTGTATACTAACACATATATATGGAATTTAGAAAGATGGTAACGATAACCCTATATGCAAAACAGAAAAAGAGACTCCGATGTATAGAACAGACTTGTGGACTCTGGGAGAAGGCGAGGGTGGGATGTTTCAAGAGAACAGCATCGAAACACGTATATTATCTAGGGTGAAACAGATCACCAGCCCAGGTTGGGTGCATGAGACAAGTGCTCGGGCCTGGTGCACTGGGAAGACCCAGAGGGATCGGGTGGAGAGGGAGGTGGGAGGGGGGACCGGGATGGGGAATACATGTAAATCCATGGCTAATTCATTTCAATGTATGACAAAAACCACTGCAATGATGTAAAGTAATTAGCCTCCAACTAATAAAAATAAATGAAAAAAAAACAAAAAACAAAAAACAAACAAAAAAAAGAAATAAGTACTGACTCATCTATGACTATATACATCAGTATTAAAAAAGAAATGTAAAAGTTAGTTACATTACAGAATTTTACAAATATGAGTAAATGAAGCAGTATAGTCTTTTGTGTTGTTATCTTGGACAAAAGAAAGTACAGGGAAAAGTATTGGTTGAATACAATGTAGAATTTAAATTCAGAAGCTTAAAATAATTTTGTCAATTAAACTCAGCTTTGATTATAATTACTAATTAATGCAAGCTTGCTACTATAAGTTGGGTGTCTATAGTGGTAGGAAGATAGGATATAGTCATGCTTCATTTTTGGGAATGTGTATTAAAAGTCTTACATTTTTTAATGTCTTTGGACTCACAAATTCTACTCCTGGTCTTAAGGAAAGAATCACTATTATAGTCAAAGACTTAGTTAAAGGATGTTCACTGTGGTATTATTTATGGAAGTAAAAATTTTGGAAAAAACACAAAATTTGCAATATGGTGGAATACTAAGCAATCATTGAAAACAATATTATGCTATTCATATTATAAGTGAATATTCAAAATATAGGAAAGTCTTTTCAAAATGTATTATGTGAAAAAGTTAGATTATAGAACATTAGATATAGTAAGAACATATTTTCTTTAAAAACTATACTTATATGCATAGAAAAAAGGCTGAAAGGTCATGCTCTAGAATGCTGACAGTGTTTAATTCTGACTGGTAGGCTTATGAGTGAATTTTAGTTTTTCCTTTTGCTTATCTTTTTTTCTAAATTCTCTATAATTAACATATAGCGTGTATGTAATAATCAAGAAAGCTTCTACAAAAACTCAGACCATTATGTGGGAATGATAGGGACTGTGGTTATGTGTTAGGGAGAATAAGTAAACGATAAACGATTAGTCATAAAGGATCATTGTATTTTTCTCCAGAGTCATTAAACTATTTAGAGAAGTTCCAAGAAGACAAGTTTGGGCTTTGCAGTTAAAATGTAAGCATTTCTAAAAGAGGTGGTGTCCTAAGTATGTCATTTATATCTTTGTGTGAGAAGGTTTTGGGGGGTTTTTCCTAAAAGCAAATAATTATGGGAGGAGAGAAGGAACTAGAGGAGTCTCGGGAACTTGAAAGGAGGCATGGAAAAAGGGCACAAAAAGGAGATTAGATTTGCTGGAAATAAGCTTTGTCCATCCCTTATCTTTTCTTTGGAATGGTTCTGGTCACTCAGAAAGTCTTTCATAGAAACAGAGCAAGCTGGAGAAGAATCCTGACTCCTCTCAATTCCCAGCTTTATTCTTTACTGCTCAATCTTCCCTAGCTCTTCACACTTCCTGTTACCTGTTACAAGTGTACTCTTGAGAGGCGATGGGGCAGCATGCTAAGTTTTCTGGGTGTGTTTTCATGGAGTTTCAGCAAGAACCAAATTACCAAAGACGGTCATAAGTTTAATAGGAAATAGCAAATAGGAAATCCCTCTGCAAAGTGTCTGGGTAAAACTTTCAAGAACCTTGAAAATATTCTTTCCTCCCCTTTAGGCTTTCTCCTGAGGGAAAACACCAGTGTTAAACTGAGTAAGGCTTTGAACTTACTTGTGGTTGCAGCCGCTGCTGTACATTCAGTCCCCCCAGGGCCAGTGGGAGGGTCGGTGCACCAGATGCCACGCCTGCAGCAGGATTTAGCTGTAGGGCAATGAGGAAGATTGTGTTGTGTCCATTTGAACATCCAGGATATGAAACTGTATTTACTAGATGTGAAAGGGAGGATTTGCTTTGCAAATCTATAGTAGTAGACATTGCATTTGGAATTAGGAACAGAAATGAAGTTCAGAGACCTGTGTAGTCTGCTAGTACAGCCATGAAGTCCAGGACTAACTTTTCTGACACTCAGTTTTCCTTTGGCATTTAACCCATTCTCCTGAGGATTACTTAGATGATTTCATACTTGCCTTCCCCTTTTGGCTATGACAGCAATGGTTCCAGGAATTTTCCTGATAGCTTTCTTATGAAGAAAATGTGTTCCTTCATAGGTATCCCCATGAAAATTGTGAGGGTCCAGCGTAGCTTGAATATGATCTAGTACTACATTTAAATCTGACCACTGGGGAAAAAACCCACTTTGGGCAGGGAAGAAATTTATTAATTATTTTATCCCCCAGAGAGATTAAACTATAGAGACATTCTATGAGAAGAATGTAGATTTTCCTATCCCTTCTCATTTGCTCTTGTTGTTGGGGTGATAATAGCAGTCACAGTGTTTGGATGTCGTATAGGCTGTGAGGAAGATGTGAAAAAGTGAAAGTGTTAGTTGCTCAGTTGTGTCTCACTCCTTGCGATCCCATGGACTGTGGCCTGCCAGGCTCCTCTCTCCATGGGATTCTCCAGGCAAGAATACTGCACTGGGTAGCCATTCCCTTCTCCAGGGGATCTTCCTCAGGAATCAAACCTAGGTCTCCTGCATTGCAGGCAGATTCTGTCTGAGTCACCAGGAAAGCCCCGTGAGGAAGATATGCTGGAGGAATAAGAAGGGGAGCTCAGAGAGGAGGTGAGAACTAAAGAAGTAAAGACTTGAGAATTAGATTAATTCCTTTAGAGATAATCTTAAAGATAAGACAGTTTTTTAATGTTGCATTGAATAGTATTCAGCTCTCTGTGACTTTTCTCTGTCACCTCTCTTTCCGTTTATCTACAGTGAAATGTGTGTATGTGTACATCTGTGGATACCCACCCCATATATATATATATATGTTAAACATGAGGTATTATTTTTATTTAACAATGGACATTAAAATGATATAAAAGGTACTTACCAGTTGCAAGTCTGACCCCAGTGTGAGCATATGTGTCAAAGGAATTAGACTTAAAGAAGAGAAGACCTGCAGGGCATTGAAATTAATATGTTAGACAAAAAGACAATGCCATCAGTGGTTTATATCCTCAAGTAACATATACTTCTATCACAGGTGGATTTACCATAAGGCTAAAGCTTCAGGGCCTCTCACTAGCATTGCCCCTTCCAAGGCCCTTGGAGGTACCCAAGCAATGTGTCAAGTTTAAGGTATTTATCAGCTTAAAAGTACGTAATTTACTAATTTCTTATCTCACTGTGAGTTCTTCACTTTAGTAACTAATTTTGCATGTCTAATTTTGTATTCTTTTTTAAGGAAAGTCCTCTAAGCTTCAAGTTCCTTAAGGTGGAAGGTTGACTAGTGACTTGAGTATTGTGTAATGTCCATAGACCAAAATGAAAACTTTATTCTGGTGTTACAGTACCGTTTTCACAAAGTCTAGATGTAGGGAAGGAGAGGTCTTTTTGAACAGAGGGAGGATGGGAAGAAGGGGGAGGGGAGCTAGGAGACCTTTCAGTTTTCAAAAGTATTTAAATATGCTTCAATGACAGATTTTACAGTAACACATCAGTTCATCAACAATAAAAGTTAAAACCACTAGGAGATTTGCAACTATTTTTATGGATTACCTCTTAATCCCTGTAGGTTCTGGCAAGTACCATGTTTGCTTAAGTCACAGTTCTTCAAAGGCATAGATGACCAAGCTTTTTCAATAGGTGTAGCTATTGCCTTTTAGAGTTGACTAGATTTGGTTGCTGAACCAAATTATTACTCAGACAAAAGGAATAAGAATGAATATGTGATGAAATAATAAGAGTGAAATAAGAAATATGAATGAAAAAAAGTATGTTTCTTGTTTTTATTTCCCTCCAATAAGGCTTTTCTCTCTCTTGCTCAGTCATGAAACTTTGGGTGAATCTTGATTTTAAATCCACCAGCCTTAGCATGTTCACTTTGCTTGTCTTCAGACGTTCAGCACTGTAGGACTCTTACCTGACTTGGCTGCTGTTGGTTTAGCGGTGTTTCCTGATCTGGAACAAGCTTGGTAGGAGGAAGCACCAGGGCAGGGTTGAGCTGCATCTGTGATAACAAATACTTGAAGAAGCAGCATCTACCATTTTTCATGTGTGTTCACAAGTCTTTTTGAGTTGGCCTTGAGTCTGAACTTAAAGAAAGCTAGCAAGATACCAAGTGAAGAGGCCTTATATACACACACTGGACCTGTCATGACCAGCTCTCCCTCCCCCACATTGACTGGGAACAAGACAAAGAATTATTAAACTATTTGGTAGGATGAAGTTATCCAGTAGGGAGGATTCCTCCAGCTCAGGCTTGAGACACCAGACCTCAGAGCAAAGAAACTTACATCAGGTGGTCAGTAAAAACAAAGAAGACTAAGGTTTAGAAAGGGAACGAACAAGGAGACTAAAAATTCTCTTCTCCTGGATGACCTGTTTTAAGACAGAAACAATATAACTTCCAGCTTTACCCATTCCTGACTGAAAGTCATGCCAAGGTTGAATCTTAAAGGAAAACTAAATTTAAACCTCTTATAGAATATTTCACCCCCACCTAGGGGTAGGAGCAAGGAAAAACATTTTTTAATGAATATTGTAGAGGTATAATTTCAAACTTAAAAATGGTTTGAGGTCTTGTATCCATTTATTTCCAGGAGGTAATAAGTTGACCCCAAATGCAAAAATGTCTGCCTTCAGCCCCCGTGTGTTTTGGAGCAGTTTTAACTCCCTGGAACATTTTGTGCATGACAGGAGATGCAACCGTAGAAAGGGAAAGTGCCAGGCCAGGAGGGTGCTGTGGGGATGGACAGAGGGTGAGTGAGGCACGTGGTTTTCTGGTGGTAGTCATTTCTTTTCCTCCTCTGGGACATAAAAGATACAGTCCACACCTCAGCTCTGTACACATTTGCTTTTTCCTAATGCTTGAAGATAAGTTGCCATGATTTCTACTGCCTTTTCATGAAGCTGTCAGCCTTGAGCCTGACAAGTTACTCTTGTAATAGAAATTCAGTCCCCTGCTTGGTCAGAGTATTTTCTTAGTGTATTAAGAATAACTGTATTTTAGGGGTAAAAGTCTTTGTGAGTCCAGATGACTTAGTTGTATTATTCTAGTTTATTGATGAAACTAAGAAGCTCTGTGAGCTGCCCACGGTGATTTTATGAGTTGTAGAGCCTGTACTAGGAATTCCTGCAAGGACTTTTAGTCCTTGAAGAAATGAGTCCTTCTATTTGCTTCTGTTAGCCTTCCATCTGTATTCAGGTGGAATGCAGGCTGACTCTGGCTGGCCTCTGCTCCTGGCTGTGCCCCAAGGATAGTGTCCTGTGGCTCCCCCAGCCCTGCACTGATTCTTGGGTCACTTGGATATATCTTGGAGCTGACAACGCCTCTTGAATTCACTTTGGTCTTTTCCCTCAGTCATAAGAGAGGAGATTGGCACTATCTGCCCTTAGGGGTCCCTTTAAGCCTTAAGATTATGTAAGTACAAATTCTGCAAAGGTGTTTTCATCTCCTATGATTCATTGTCAGCATGGTAGTCAGATGGATCCTTTGAAAACTGCAGTCTGGTCTGTTCATGTCTTTGTTCAACCCCTGCCTTAACCTCTGTTGTCACTCACAGTAAAAGTCACGGGTACTACAGTGGCCCAAAAGGCCCTCAAACCCTGGGCCCCCAGCACCTCTCTGAACTCCCACTCTGCCTCATTCCCTCTCATTCACTTCATTACTGCTATTTAGGCTCCTTGCTGTCTCTGGGACACTCGAGGCCCATTCTTACCTCAGAACCTCACCACTACCTGTTCCCTTTGCCTGGAACGCTCTTTTCCCAGACATTGGCTCACTCCCTCACCTGCCTGAGTTCACCTTCTATTTGAGGCTTACCCTGACCACTCTCCCAAACACTCAAGTGTCCCAGTTCCAAAGTACCCCCATATTCCCAAACTTTTGACCGACTGAATTGTTTCAATAGATCAAAAGGCTAGGCTACATTAAGTGTTCACATTTGCACATCTATTCATTTCATATACCTTTATGATAATTCAACAAATTCATTTACAAGTAATTAAGAAAAGCCTTGCCCATATGTCCTGAGTTTTTATTTGATAAATCCTACTATGATAGCTAATAGACATTTTAACGTTACTTCTCACACTTCCTACACCACTGATTCTTGCTACTCTCCCAGTCTGCATGAACCTGTACACTACTCCTGGGTCCACCTTGAATGATAGCTATGCTTCAAAAAAGTTTTGTCTTGAGTTTTCAAAAACTATATGGTAATTTAAATTCACAAGAGATACCCAACTTAGAACAACCTTTTGGCATATTTATTCAGTGAAGTGCAAAAACCCACATTAAAAATTTAACTTCCTAATTTACCTTGTTTAAAGATTAAATTTTTGCAGGAGATTTCTTTAAAGAATGACACATGTGTGTTTGGAATGAAATAAGAAGGAGGTTGGTTTTTCATGTTTGTTCCATCCCCTCCACCATGATCACCCTGTTCATCTCCTTCACAGAACTAATCATGGTTACAATTTATAATTTATCATTAAAAATAGTCCTCATAAACACCATGAAGGATTATGTCTTTTTTTTTTCCTCTCACCATCTTATCTTCAACAACTAGCAAATTGTTTGGTATATAGAGAGTTTTCAATAAATATTTGTTGATTGCATAGATGAGTAAGCAAGTGTTAAGTGAGCTTGAAGCCTAATTGAGAATGTTATTTTTGTTCTGCTAATTCATAGTAAATATCTTTAATTTTTTTTCTCATTGTCCACACTGAAGCATCTCAAACAAAGGGAAATTTACTTAGAGATCCAAACCACTCATATTATGTCTATAAAATATTGGAGGATAGCTGGAATACACGTTTGAATACTAGGCTCTTTTTTTTAAACCTGTTATATGTGAACTTATTTTGTGACGAAATGTTCTAAGTAAAAAATATTATCTGCCTTCTAATATCCTCATTTTATTGCACAATTTGGTAGACTTTTTAGAGTTTTTATAATTTAGATGTTTTGTGTTTCCAATTAGAAAATTCAGGAAATGTAGTTTACATCTTTAATCATGAGAATATAATTAGTTGGCAAGAAAATCTTAACTTCTTTTTGGAAGTAAAATTATTATCCACTTTGAGCAGACATAATCCACGGCATCCCTTTTTCTCTTAATTTCTGCCCTATTGCTCTGTCAAAAATAATCGAAATTCTACCATGATAAAGTGGATACAAAAAAAAAAAGTGGATACAATGTAAGTACATTGGAATATACACTAATACTTCATTAGCTTATCATCTTTCAACTTGGAAAATAAAAATAGGAAACTAAGGGAATGGGTCACAAACATAGAAGTTTTGGCAGAGAGGGAGAGAGAGGTCTTCCGTTACAGTTGCAGTTAAGGCTGGGTGTACATAAAATAAACATGTTGTACTTACCGGTAATGACAGAGTTGATCCTAGAAGACAAAACAGTAGAATCGCAGCCTTCATGTTCAAATTGCTACCTGAAACAACAAAGCAATGTTATTCTTTCACTCTATTTTTTTTTTCTTTTTTGAGACAAAGTGGTACGTGAAAAAAATGAGTGGTCTCTTTGAAACGTAGTCTGTTCTGTTACCTTTCTCTTCACTAGGCAAAATGTACAGGTAAGGTGATTTCTCTAGTCTGTATGCTGAAAATTTTTACCCTTAGGTGAGCTATGAGTGTGTAGGAGGAATTTAAATTTGACTCCAGGAGGCTGGAGACTGAGGGGCCAATCAGGACTTAGCTGTCTGTGAAGTCATTTGGTTTCTTTCATTTCCCAACACTTCATTAGGTGCGTTATTAGCTGCAGACATCATATTACCCAATGTCTACCATTTGAATAGAGGGTATTTCAGGAAGACATGCCTTGTATAATTAAAAGTGCAGACAATAAAAGATTACATTCTTTCTTCACCTCCATCTCCTTCCCAAATGACTTCCCAGAGTACCTGTTTTATCATGTGTACATGGACACATAAATCAAACATCAAAATATAGCTGCCTATGTTAAAAAATGAGAACTATTATGTATATTTCTCTGCAATTTACTTTGTTTTACTTTATAAATAATCAGCAACCTATTTGTCAGTAGGTATAGATTTATTTCATTTATTTAACGGCTGCATTATATTCCATTTCCTTTTGGTGGACAGTTAATCCATTTTCATTTTAGTTTGTAATTATAAAAGTGGCACAATGAACATCCTTATAAATTTTTTTCATACAAGTGGGAGTATTTTTGTAAGTATTTTTCTTAGAAGTACTGTACTAAAGGTTATGTATGTTTAAAATGTCAATAATGGGGGAAATGGCCAGATTGCCTCCAGAAGCGTTGAATGGTATACTTTGTTTTAAATAGGGGAAAGGGTACAGTAATCTAAGCAAAATGTAGAGGTCCACTGAGTTTTCTTTCACAAAAAGAACAATGAAGTGCTCGTCATAAGCTTTCAGGGCCGTGGGCTTTACTGGGAGTTTCCTTTAGCCTTATGTATAAGAGGGAGGTATGCAAATTCTGAGTCCAAATCAAAGGTAAATCAGTGTCATGCTAGGATTTCACATGGAAGGCCATCTTAGAGTTGGCTAGTTTTAGGGTATAGAATGGGCTTCCCAGGTGGCATTAGTGGTAAAGTAGTAAAGCACATTGGTAAAGTGCTTGCCAATGCAGGAGACGTAAGAGATGTAGGTTCGATCCCTGGGTTGGGAGGATTCCCTGGAGGAGGGTATGGCGACCTACTCCAATATTCTTGCCTGCAGAATCCCATGGACAGAGGAGCCTGGCAGGCCTCAGTCCATCGGGTCTCAGGGTTGGACATGACTGAAGCGACTTAGCACACATGCTCACAGACTATAGAATGTCTGAGACAATGAGTTGTTCCCCGAAGCTTTTCTGTAACTCTTCATTACACAGTCAACTTTCATTACCGTCAGGTGAGAATAGGGGACCCACAAAGGTTAACCAGTATACCCTTGGAAAGTGCAATAATGTATGTGTGTGTGCTCACTTGTGCCTGAGACTCTTTGTGACCCCATGGACTGCAGCCCACCAGGTTTCTCTGTCCATGGAATTTTTCCAGCAAGAATACGGGAATGGGTTGTCATTTCTTACTCCAAGGGATCTTCCCAACCCAGGGATTGAACTTGCATTTCTTGGGTCTCCGGGCATTGGCAGGTGGGTTCTTTACCACTGCGCCACCTGAGAAGCAGTAAGTGTAATCCTAGGAGTATTCACAGGTATGGAAGGAAGCTTGGTTAATTTTGTTGGGGGCAGGAGGGCAGAGAGGGCTTACTAGAGGTGGTGGCCTCTGAGCTGGTTTTGAAGAATAAAAATAATTCATTCATTATGAATACAGGGAGAGCACCCAGGCAGATTACAGATGGAGGAGAGATGTTATTGCTCCTTATCACGGGAACAAAATGAGGTGAGGGCAGCGGTGAAAGACAAAGTTGGCGAGCTACCTAATTTTAATCACCTGTAGTATTTTTGTTTGTCTGTTTCTCTTAATATTACTTCTTTTGGCTCTCCATCGACACTATCTCCATCTCAATCAGACAGAGCTCCTTCATTATTTCCTGGTTGTATGTTTCTCTTGAACTAGATGGAAAGTTCCTGAGCCTTGTCTTGTGATTCTTTAGCGTCTTCTATGTTAATGTCTTTGCAGAACACCGCATGGGTCACTGCATGTTGATGGATAAATTGCAGAGTCACATCCTGTAGGGCACTGGAGTGATGGAGTTCAGAGAAGAGATGGGGCTTCAAGTGGATTTGAAGGATAGATGTGATTGATGGGACAGTGAAGAGCATGGTAAGTGGGGTGATATTAAGACGGGCAATGACCCATAAGGGCTGAAGGATGTACAAGGGAAGCAACTGTATGTTCTCACAGGCTTTCATAGACACATTCATTCATTCTTTTATTCTGTCAGTTTGTTCTTCTAACCCATCAGCTAGCATGTGTTCACTCTATGTTCTGCTCAAATTGTTTCAGTTTTTGGGAATAAAACAGTGGCAGAAACCCCTGCCCTTAAGGAACTCACCTTTGTGGGGCGACACTGAGTATTTGAGCCTCGCTGAGCGGGAGGGGGCTATCACACTGGGGAACCCACTCTTTCCTGAGCATTGTTTTCAGTGAATGTGTAGGGGGAGGGCCTTCCTTACTTTTTTTTTCTTCTTTTTGGAAGAAGTAGAGTTGGATTTTATGCCACTGTTGTGCCTGGGTTTAGGTGAAGAGACTTGGGTTCTGTTGCCAGCCTAGAGTTTGGTGCCAGCGGTTAGCTGATTCAGTTGAATCACTGTATGACTGTCTGGACATCAGGTGATTCAGGGAAATGACAGCGCATCAAATGCCTGATGTAGACATGTCTCCAACCCCAAGCTATAATGGGACATGCCCTAGCTTGGAAACTGAGCAGTCCATAGGTTTTGGCCAAAATAAACATGGGAAATAAAGAAAGTGGAGTACTTTCTTAGACAAGGAATTTTAACTTTGAAAGCTGATAACTTGCAATAATATAATTATGGGGGTGGGAGTCAAGAAATAGGTACTATAAAAGGGAAAAATTCCTAAATCTTTTGAAAACTGAGAGGCATCAGCAAAAACATAGAGGTAATTTATTTTTCTTAAATGACTTAGGCTATCAGGATTCATCACAGTATTTTGTGAACTACAGGCAACACCTAGCCCTGTAGGTCTAGACATTTCTTGGTATCTCTTATTGACTTTAGTTTAAGTTTCTCTGATTTATGGACACCTTCTCCTCAGGAAAGATGCACATGTGCCATGCACTCGATGGGTATCCACCAACTTCAGGGGTGTTGTGGATCTCCTGAGAGCCCCACTGTGCGCAACCCTGCTTTTGTCCACTCAGTCGCTCAGTTGTGTCTGACTCTACGACCCCATGGACTGTAGCCCACCCAGCTCCCTTCTGTCCATGGGATTTCCTATGTAAGAATACCGAGTGGGTTGCCATTTCCTTCTCCAGGTGATCTTCCTGATCCAGGAGTCAAACCTGCATCTCCTATATTGGCAGGATGGTGGGTTTCTTTACCACTGAGCCACTTGGGAAGCATCCACTCTATTGTGGTAGAATTTCGATTATTTTTGGCAGAGCAACAGGGTGGAAACTAAGAGAAAAAGATATGCCTTAGATTATGTCTGTTCAAAGTAGGTAATTCATTCACTTCCAAAAAGAATTTAAGATTTTCTTGCCAACTTTATCACCTGTGACCAATGGCCAAACCACTCTGCCAAGAATTCTGGACATATTTTTCCAATACCCAATCTGAAGAAACTTCATGAGATTAGTAATAAACCTATATAGTTTTTTCCTATCTAATAGAATTTTTTGTGTTTAGTCACTCACTCATGGATTGTAGCCCACCAGGGTCCTCTGCCCATGGAATTTTCCAGGCAAGAATACTGGAGTGGGTTGCCTTTTCTTACTCCAGGGAATCTTCCCAACCCAGGGATCAAACTCACTTCTCTTGAATCTCCTGCAATGGCAGGCATATTCTATACCACTAGTGCTACCTGGGAAGTAGAATTTTAGATACACTTAATTCACTGGCTGTCCTTCTGGCATTCATTCATCAAAGTACTCCATAGAAAAATGGCTCTACAGAAGGTTTTTGAACATATATCCTAATTTCCTGTGGGTAGTACAGGTTTGTGTTTGAGGGTGAGAGTTTGAAAATGAAAATGTTAGATCTGGATGTGGGTTTTGATAGAGGAGCAGGTGAGGAGATATTTCATTTTGATGAGACTGAGTTTTGTCCAGGTCTTTTGTTGATTTGTGGACTTGGATAAAATTTGGTGTGATCAGGTTTTCTTTTTTTTTTTTTTTGGTATAGTCAGTTTTGAGGTGGCTTTCAGCAAGGTTAAGGTTTTAAAGTGTTTCATGAATACCAGATTTTAGAAAATGCTTTGATAGCTCAGAGTTTGATTGACTATAGAGTTTTATATGAATTTTTGGAGAGCAAGTGCCTGACTGAATAGCTGTTTTAGGAAGTGCTTTGGTCAGGACAATTCTTTGCCTAACAAACCACTCTTAGATGACCATATGGTAAGACAACACCTAATTAAACAGCCATTTTGGGATGCATTTTAGATGGGTTGGTTCTTTGCTTATTAGTTATTCTTGAATAGTGTTTTTTTGTACATACAGGTCTTAGCTAATCACTGTTTTCCAACCAGCTGTGGAAAGGGAAATGCTTTTTTGATGTTTTTATAGTTTTTGGAGAGTGTGTTTAGAGGCAGCTGTGTTGGATGAGTATTGACTTGTTTTGGGTTAGTCTGTTTGTGGTAGCTCCTTGCTGAACAGCTTCTTTGGACAAAAGAATTCTCTGCAGATCAGCCTGTCTTGGGTGAATTTGTGTAGAACCAGGTGCTGGCTAAATAGCTGCCTTTTGATGAGCTTTGGATGAGGAAGCTCTTTTCTGATAAGTTGATTTCATATAAACTTGAATAAAC